CTTAAGGCTATGACCTCCCCTAGAGCAAAACTCGGAACATTTCCTGTTCTGCTAAGGTACAAGTAGGTCCATATTGGAAAACACTCTGAGATACCATAGCCAGGATGTCTGAGTTGAGAGACTATTTGTGGTTTAAGGCACAACTTCTTATCAAACTATCATCTCCCAATAAAACAACTACTTCCCCAAACATCTACAATTATTAGGCTATGACCTCCCCTAGAGCAAAACTCGGAACATTTCCTGTTCTGCTAAGGTACAAGTAGGTCCATATTGGAAAACACTCTGAGATACCATAGCCAGGATGTCTGAGTTGAGAGACTATTTGTGGTTTAAGGCACAACTTCTTATCAAACTATCATCTCCCAATAAAACAACTACTTCCCCAAACATCTACAATTATTAGTGTTGGGGGAAATAATTAAGTAAAGGGGGTAGGCCTCAGTGGAGCGTTAGGTATGGTGCAAAATATGAACCAAAGTAAGGCTGTGAACCAAAATAGGCCCTGTCAGAATAGCAAGGCTAAATATCAGCTAACTAAGTAAGCTACATGGGGACCGCAGGGCCCAAACGGCCACTTGTGCTGCTTGCTCCTGTGCAGCAGCCTGGCTGAGCGGCACAGAAGTCAGCCGAGTGCCATGGCGGAAGGGGAAGGGGAGTGGGGCGGTGACATATACGGCCAGGGGGAGGAACCCCTGAGTGAGAGGCAGGAGGGGGAGAAGAGAAAGAGACAGAGAGAGAGGCGGGAGGCGGAGGAGAGCTTGGGGGGAGGGAAGCAGTAGGAGGGGGGGAGGAGGGGGAGAGAGAGAGAGAGACCAGAGACTCAGGAGAGAAGACCGACATGGAGGAGAGACCTTATGACGGGCTAATTGGCTAGTACATGAAGAATGAGATAAACTGCTAACTCATGCAGCTAGAGGACAGTTTTACAAGAAAGTACTACTGGTATTGCATACTGAATTCAGAAAGGAAGTATTTCATTTGGGTTTTAAGTTTCATTGCATTTGTTTACATTGTATAATTCTATATCTTTATTGTTTAAAACTCAGCAAATTTACCAGATTCCATTGTCATCTGAAGTAAACCATCAATGGCATTAGAAAGCAGACCTCTACTGGATATTCTTAAGTGATTTAATATGATAGGCACAGATTGGTACTCCAAAAACAAGGCCTTTCCTTCATCTGTCTTCAAGTCTACACAAAGGGAATCAAATGCTTGAGCCAGATAATCAGCTGAAAAAAACATTAAAATGCAAACAATTTTATAATCATAGTTTTAATGACTGATCTATAAAACTCAGTATAAATAGCTATTGTGTGATTATTATATAGTTATAAAATGTAATAAAATTAGAAGATTAAATAGATCACGTTATTAAAGTTGAAATTGTTAGACCTTTATTTTAATATTTCCTGTATTTCTAATAGTTAATTTACTGACCCTTTTTTCAAAGTAGGGAACAGGGAATTAGGGGGCAGCCCAATTTTTAAAAAGTATGACACAATGATAAGACTTACATATTTGCTCGAGACAAATGAACCCTCTTCTACATTCTATAAAGGTTTATAATCCAGATTACCAGAATTACTTATTTCTATACTACAAGAAAGATGAATGCAGAAATTCAATTTCATGCTCAATATCATATTATTTCCAATATCAACAAGAAATAAATCCACATAACCAGTGAAATCACAATACCCATTGCTATGAACATTACTTTCTTCACGGTATTGAATACTGTTTGCTTTATGGCTTTGAAACATAGAAATATGTTGCAATAGTTTTAAATTCTGAGTTAGTCCATATCCTGTTCTGGGGTGGCTGGCACTACTTGAAAAATTTTTGAAGTAGCCCCCAGGGAAAAAAATTATCGCCCACCCCTGAATTAGATAAATGGATTGTAAGGTGGATAGAAAGCTAGCTAGATTGTCGGGCCCAATGGGTAGGGGTCAACAGCTCAATGTCTGGTTGGCGGTCGGTTTCTAGCAGAGTGCCCCAAGGATCAGTTCTAGGGCTGGTTTTGTTCAATATCTTTATTAAAGACCTACCTGAGAGGATGGATTGCACCTTCAGCAAGTCTGTGGATGACACTAAGATAGAGGGATAGGTAGGAACATTGGAGGGCAGGGATAGGGTCCAGAGTGACCTAGACAAATAGGAGGATTGGGCCAAAAGAAATCTGATGAGGTTCAACAAGGACTAGTGCAGAGTTCTGTACTTGGGACGGAAGAATCCCAAGCATTGTTACAGGTTGGCTATGTAGCAATTCATAGGACCTAGGGATTACAGTGCATGAGAAGCTGGATATGAGTCAACAGTGTGCCCTTGTAGCCAAGAAGGCTAATGGCATATTAGGGTGCATTAGGAGGAGCATTTCCAGCAGATCTAGAGAAGTTATTATTCCCCTTTATTTGGCACTAGTAAGGACATATCTGGAGTACTGTATCCAGTTCCCTCTCCCCGCCCCTCCGTTTAGAAAGGATGTGGAGAGGATCCAGCCAAAGGCAACCAAAATGATTAGGGGACTGAAGCACATGATCTACAAGGAGAAGCTGAGGGATTTGGGCTTATTTAGTCTACAAAAAAGAAGAGTGGGGGCAGGGATTTCATAGCAGCTTTCAACTTCCTGAAGGGAGGTTCCAAAGAGGATGGAGAGGGGCTGGTCTCAGTAGTGATGGATGGCAGAACAAGGAGCAATGGTCTCAAGTTACAGTGGGGGAGGTCTAGGTTGGACATTAGGAAAAACTTTTTCACTGGGAAGGTGGTGAAGCACTGGAATGGGTTACCTAGGGAGGTGCTGGAATCTCCATCCCTCGAGGTTTTTAAATCCCAGCTTCACAAAGTCCTGGTTGGGATGAATTAATTGGAGTTGGTCCTGCTTTGCCAGGAGGCTGGACTCGATGACCTCCTGAGGTCTCTTCCAGCCCTGGGATTTTATGATTCTATGATACATTTTGGAGACATCTATTTATGTACTCAGAGATGAAGAATAGTCCTGCATAAATACAAAGAATGCAACTGCTCCATTTCCACTTACTTTCATAAGGATCATCACTGTACAGTATTTTAAAATATACAGTGATGAGAGACTCAGAATTAAATAAACTCACCTAAATATCGTAAATAACCACAGTGCCTATATTTTAGACTTAGCTATTCAAATGGTTCTCAGTATTTCAGAACACCACCACATTATTTAGTTATGAGATGAAATAATTAAATACAATGGAGCCAATTCTGTAGTAGGAAAAGTTTAGTTAGAGTGCCATCTTCTGGACTTCAATGACACTGCAGAAGAAAAAAGTAATCTTTTTGAACATCTTGCATTATGAACAGAATAAAGTCAGTGTTTTACTTTCAAGGGGTGATCAGAATTCTGATGTAGTGATTTTATGAATGCACTTTTTATTACTGTAGATCATACTTAGCTATGGCATATAAACTATTGGTAAAAAACAATGAAAAGCTAAAAAGTTTTATCATTTTAAGCACTGCCCTTGAAAAGTCTCAATGTCTAGTTTTTTTTTTTTTCTTTTAACGTGCCAGCAGGGATCAACACCCAACATAATTCTCATTTTAAAAGTATATTTTACATTACAGACTACTGGTTAAGTAACATTCTTCCAATTATTAGAACTTGTACCTGGTGTAAAAACTTCCAAAATAAATCTAAGGCATACCAAATATCATTATCAGGAATTTTAGTCTTCATAAGATAAATATAGCACAAGCAGTGCAGGGTAAACTTCTACATAATACCACATTAATGTGCTTTCTATCTATTCTGGAGAGACCAAATATATAAGTATGAAAGCATAGTTTAGTCTCCAGACTGCTGAGGCAGTCCTGGACTGATGAGGGGGAGGGAAGGGCGCTTTCTTTCACCTGCCTGGCTGCCTTCTGCTTAGTGAAGCAGCCTGTAGAAGAGCCCAGAGAGCTCAGCTGAATTCACGGCACCTTCTCCTACAGCGGAGTTCCTCAGTCAGTTGGCTCCTTCTTATTGGACTGGCGTGCGATGCCTTACTTTCACCTCTGGTTAATAAATCCAACATGGACTGCATGGAAGAAAACAAGGAACAGATGTTCCTTCTGATGCCCAACAGGAGAAGAGAACCTTGTCCAATTGGCGAGGTGTGACTTTTGGAAGGCCTGCTGCTTCCCAGAAGAACTTGCTGGACCTTCTCTGAACTTGGTAAATCCCTCTGGATTTAACCATGGAGCAACCATGCTGTGAGGTGTAGAGACGTGAGGTTGGGGAGTAGCAGTCAGCCATGATCTTGCAACAGACAGTCCAGACAGCTGAGAAGGGGCCAATGAGAAGCTACTGCTATACTGCCATGTTCATGAGTGTACTAAACCAGTGCTGGTATGGCCAAGCTAGGGCAATTAAGATGACTCATGCTCTGATGTTCTTGATCTTTACTAGGTCCCAGCTGATGAGGGGAATTGGCATCGGAAAGGGAGCAAGAGTGATGGCATTTGCTGTTCTGCCTGCTGTTGAACAGACCCAGTTTGAGATTCCCCCACCTCTTCAAGAGCTTGCAGGCCACATCTGGGTGGAGGGACCACTTGTGGTGAGACGAAATCTCTGCTGAGGTGATCTGCTATTTGATACCAGGGAGATGAGAAGTCTGCAGATCAATGTTGTGGCTGATACAGAAATCCCAAAGGAATAGAGCCTCTTGGTAGAGGGCCAATGAGCATACACCATTCTACCTGCTGATGTAGCACATTGGAGCTGTGTTGTCTGTCAGGATTGTCACTACTTTACTCAATAGTTGAGGCAGCAAGACTCCACAGGCCAACCAGATTGTCCTGAGTGCTTTGACATTTTATGTGACCCAATATCATTTCAGGGACCACCTCTCCTGTGTCTGAAGTCCTCCCAGGTGCACCTCCCAGCCAAGCTCCAAGGTGTCTGGCTACAACTCAACAGAGGGAGTGGGCTGTTGAATGGGACTCCATCTAGGACATTTTACATAAGAACGGCCATACTGGGTCAGACCAAAAGTCCATCCAAGCCAGTACCCTGTCTATCAACAGTGGCCAATGACAGGTGTCCCAGAGGGAGTGAATCGAACAGGTAATGATCAAGCCATCTCTCTCCTGCCATCCATCTCCACCCTCTGACAAACAGAGGCTAGGGACCCTGGTTCACCATGGCAGTAAGGTAAGATCTGCCAGAGGAATGGGAACAGCTCTTTCCAGATGATAGCTGGACTGGCAATATGTTGACGCTAACCATTGCTGGAGGGGACACATACGGAGCCTGGCATGGCGCACTGCATATGTGCATCCTGCCATGTGGCCCAACAGGCACAGGCAGACATTGGCCATCAGGGGAAATGCAGATACTTCCGCGATAAGGCTTGACAGGGTCTGAAAACCATCCAATAGCAGGAAAGCTCTGGCATGGGCCTAACCTATCCTTTATACAGGGATTAACATGAACTTCTTGGCAATCACCACCAGGCTGAGAGACCTGCAAGCGGTCAGTGTCTCCTAGATGTGCCATCAAACCGTGGATCTGGACTGGCTCATCAAGAGTCACTCCTCAAAGGTATATTTGCACCCCTCTGTGTCTCATATACACAGAGATCACCACCAACTATTTGGTGAACACTCCCAGAGCTATTGCCAACCCAAAAAAGAGGGAAAAAACCTGATAGCAGCTTGGACCCACCGTAAACAAAGGAAGTGTTGGTGTTGTTCCATTTGGGACCAACTTTAACTCTAACTAAACTACTAAGGGATAACAAATAACTATGAATGTATAAATTTTAACAGGAGAAAAGGCCTTTAGACAGAATAGAAAGATAGAACACTAGAACTGGAAGGGACCTCAAGAGGTCATTGAGTCCAGTCCCCTGCACTCACAGCAGGACCGTCTATAGATCATCCCTGAAAGATGTTTATCCAACCTGGTCTTAACAGAAAAGAATGACTCTAACAACACTAGCACAAGACATCAGAATATTCCAGCACCATCACCGGAGGCAAGAAGGAATCATGCCATGGATGCGCCACTCCACTCGCTAGTATCACTCTTCTACAGATACTACTGAGGGAAATCTTCTGGCACTGGTGCATGTGACAAGCACACACCTAATGTGATACGGACATAAGCAATCACTCAAACAACATAAAATTTCCCTAAAAAGCATAAAACTGTATAAAACTGTTGCTTATTTATTTCAGCTATAAACATCCCCCCTCCCCACCCCCACAACTATCTGCATCACTCTAAACAGCCATAACACAACTCAAAAAACAAGATTCAATTCTAGGACTTTGCATAAAGCATCCTTTATTTCTGTATAATTTCTACCCTTTTGGATACCTAAATATGCAAACATGTTTATCTTCAACTTCTCTTTTTGTTGTTGATCTACCTTGTCAATATCAATTTATGTCATCTATAAATGAGCATCTTAATATAATAAACTATAACTTCTGAAAGCATTGTTTGTTGCAGCATGCTTACTTTCTTAATAAAGTAAAAACTTCAAGAACATATTCCTCACTTTACATTTACAAGATACTTCAGACATTGATCTGATATCTATTTGATAGACTTTGTGCATTTGGTTTTACCCAAAGGATGTTGATTAAATGTAATAAAACATAAGAACTCACCTTGTGTTACTGTTTTGAGTATAATTAAAGTTGATACAAATCTCAAAGGTAAAATGGAACTCTTAAAGAAAGCTGCTGTCTTTGGTTTACTTTCAGCAGACTGCTCTGAAGAGCTATGTTTGTTTCCCTTATTTGCTATGCCTTTGAATATGTCTTCACCAAGTCTTCTCATAGTTGATGTCATAGTTGAATGCTGTTGAAAATAGTGTATCCATTTTATAAGAGTAGTAAATATAATCAGACAACTTAAAATGAAGTTTATTTTAAAGTACTATATTTATAAATAGGTCTGTACATTCTACAAAGGGATATTACACAAACAGGTGGTAGACAATTAAAAGTATTACTATTAAGCTTAGCCAGTATTACCATTGAACAAGACACAAATACATCTAATCTAATAAACCCTGACTAACACAATCAACTTTTAAATGATCTTGTTTTGTCTTGATACTATCGGATAACAACTTAACAGCAGTTACTGTTTGGTTAAATCTAGAAGAATACTATATTTGCAATACACCCATCGAGAAAATTTAAGTATACAATTCAAATTTTAAAAATTGAATTGCAAAACTACCAACCTGCACAGTGAGTGTGAACATAAAATTAGGACAGAAGGAAGTTTTAAATATGAGATTTAATTTCTCTATGAATACTGTCAATGGATTTTGATTTCAAGATTCAGACATTCACATGTTAATTTTCTTTAAATGATCCAGTCCACGTGAGACTGAAATAAATGGGTAATGAATGTAAAAGAAGTGATGTAGTTTAGTATTGGTGAAAAGAAATGTTATAAATGAAAACAAAGATTAAGAAAATAGTGGCTGTGGGATGACATTCTATACCCAAAGTTTCAGCACAATGACATTTAAAAGAGACAAGCTAGTTCTCTTTTCAACCACTGCTATCAAATATATTCCCCTATGGAAAATATTCAAAATTACAGCTAAGCTTAAAGAAGGGAATCTTCAAAGTTGCCTAAGGCTATTAGATGCTCAAGTTCCATTGAGACTCAATAGCAGCAGGATACCTAATTCTTTTAAGAGCCTTTGAAAATCCCAACCAAAAGCAGAATGGATTTTGGAAACACTGAACCTAGTTATGAAACAGTGCGGCAATAAAATGCCTTCAAACTTTAAAGGAAATTATCACTCAAGTATATATGCTTGGTTATCCTTTTGCTGGGGTATACTCTTAAAACCCAAGTAGCCTTTATAGTCGTTCATATTCATATTTTTTTCTAAGTCTGATCCACTAAGTTTATTTTCTTTAGTATAAAAATATAAATTAAGTAATCACAATTGTATGCAATTAAATTAGGAGAATTTATGCATAATAAATTGACATATTTGTTCACCAATAAAAGAAAATATTTATCATTGGTGTTCAGGTCACTGAACTGAAAAGACAAATCAGGGGACAGAATATATTTCTCATATTGTAAACGTAATGCATCTTTAGAATGATCCAAATAAATAAAGTACAGATTCTCATGTAAAACAATCTGCTTTATAACTTCCGCAACATTTATTAGAATCTGAGGTGCTGGTCTTGCAAAAAATTAGACACATGCCTATCAAAGAGAATACTCAGAGTACACAAAACTGGGCAAGGACATACATTTTTGCAAGACTGAACCCTAAATAGGACTCCATTTATGCTACTACAGATATGGTTCTGTAAGAAAATGTAAGAAAATCCTTCTCTAACAACCAACAATAAATTCAAGGGAGCCACATAAGTCCCTAGACAGATAAAACAAGGTTCTATAATATAATACTAAATACAGAGTTGATAAAAACAATTATGACCTAACAAAATACTTTTAAATGACTATCTTTTTTTTCCCCTTTGCCTCATATCTGCAGCAAATTATTTGCATTTGAATGTTGTGAAGGCTACTGGGTTTTTAAAACTATATTCACTATATGGATTTGTGTGTCAGTATCTAAGCATTTTCTAAGAATTATCATTCTGAAAATGAAATATTAAAGAATTATTCTCTAAGTAGAATCCATATTTTACCTGTGTCCCATAGTCTAGCTGTCTTATAGCCCAGTAAATAAACTTAATTACAGGAATATGTAGTTTAGGGTTCACAAATGGCATCCACTGGAGCTGTTCTGCAATGATCGGTAAAAGCTGGAAAAACATATAATAATATAGTTTTATACAGCATCTGCCACTAAGTAAACAACTTAAATCCCTGGATGATAATGGATTGCACATGCAAATATTTATCTGGCAGATCCAATGCACTGTATACTTACTCTATGTGGTAAATGTATTCAAATGTTATTCTAGATTAACAACAACATAGCTCAGATTATTATTATTTTTAAAAATTCTACAAGTAGACATTGTAGTAGCATTATATCACAACACATGTTATGGAGGTGTTTGGTCATGAGACTCTAAGGACTGATTTTTAAAATAAATGAAATTTTCTCTAAAGGCATGTGCCCAACCATGTGAAATTGCACAGAGGATTAGGTTTTATGCCCTATGAACTTTTTGGTTTCCTCTTTGTAAAATGTACTGATACCTTAACTCTGCCCTCAAGGAAAAACTGGTTACTGATCTCTATGGTAAACATACTTCAGGGTGTGTTGTGCATATATATACATTGAACAACAGGTGTGTGTGTGTATGTCTAATGCATCTGAATCAAAGATTTTTGCTAGCTGTACTTGGACATCTTTGTGTATGTAGCTGAGTGCATAAAAGGCAAAGCCAGCCTGATTCCCCCTCAGGTCGTTTTCCAGCAGAAAAATGACACTTCCAAATTACAGGGAAAGGAGGACAAACACATCTAAAGAACAACAGTTACAGTAGACAAAGTAATCATTGTTTCTCTTTCAAGTGATTGTTCACATATACATTCCACTGTAGGTGATTTACAAGCAATTTCCCTCAGTTTAGTGAGACTTTAGACCTATGTGGACAGGGAATGAAGTATAGATTTGTCAAAGTCCAAATTGGCCATGAGTGATGGCATAGTGTTTGGAGAAGTGAAGACATAGCATCTGATGAAGGCACCTACAGATGTAGTCACCTTATAGATGTCCACAGTCAGTATGTTAGTTAGAAAGGCTGTGGAGGTCACTTGTAGACCTGGTAGTTACATTTGCCAATTCATAACAGGATTTTATGCATGAAGATATACAATATGACACACAATGAGCCAAGACTGCTTAACCTTTCACTCTTTTTGCATACGGCACAAAGAGTCTAGATAGGATTCTAAATTACTTGGTTCTATGGATGTAGTTACATATGATTCTGTACACACCTAGGGAGTGCAGTCTTTGCCCTCTGTCAGCTTGGGCTTTGGAAAAAATACTAGTAAATAAACAATTAAACTCAGATGAGTGCCTATAATCACATTCAGGTGAAACTTGGATGTGATCTTAAAGCATTATCATCCTTTGAAAAAGATTTAATGGATACATCAATAACACCTATTAACCAAGAATCTCACCTGGCAGATGTAATCACTATCACAAATGCAGTTTTCATAAAAAAGTGGAATAATGAGCAAGATGCCCTGGGCACAAAGGAAGATCTCATTAGGTGTGACTGATAGGACAGTGTACACAACTAAGTCCTTTAAGAAACCTCACTAACATCAGATATGAGAAAACTGATGAGTCTTTAACATGAAAATGAACAACAGAAAGGATGGGCAGATGAACTCAACAGAAAATTCTGGTTGTTTTGGGGCCCTGAACCTCAGCTCAAGAGCATTCATACAGAATACAAATCAGCATGTCCAGAGAGTGCCTTGTTGACTTTGACCAAACACTTTGACCCTGTAATTTTCTTTAAATTGCCTGTATTTGTGGTACTAAAAGTGTCAAAACACACATTAAATACTACTGTCTGAATGAATCCAGAACTGTTACCCATAAACAATTATCTTTGTTTTTAGGACTGTAAACTACATAAAAAATAAAACCATCTCAAGTTGGCCATACCGTTATCAAGGTTTTTTTTTTTTTTTTTAAAAAATCAAAACCTCTTTACCTTTGGCCACTTTTCTTGTGTATCATTTTTGTGTGTGTATGTTAGTTTGTGATTCTCTCCTCTTTCTTCCTCTTTTTTCACTTTGAGGAATTGATCTGAGATCCAGTCCATAAGAACAGTTAAAAGCTCATAAACATGTGAATTAAGTGGTGCCTGTAACAATCATAATATTAATTAAGGTTATATAGCTTTTCCAAAACATATGGCATATTATTAGATCCTCTCAAAGGGAACAGACTGACATGTCAAAATGTGAAAACTGCTTTCGTAGTCTATTATATGTATTTGGGGTAGGATGGTGCCATGCCCGAGAAAAATTAGTTTAGGCCTTTATTTGTAGTAATTATTGGTTGGCAGAAAATACACACGTACAATTTGCAGGTCATCCTAGGAAAACATCTTTACGCACAAAACAGGACCATTTTACTATGCTGGCCATAAGAATCTGAGATGAATTGTGACATACAACTGCATAATTCACAGGTTTTGTCCACATGTAGTAATTTTTATTTGGGAAACATTAGATACATCGAACAAAACATGTAACCATCCTGTATGTAACACACTGCTATTAAAATGTATCTCATTAACTATAACTGAATAATATTAATTCCAATAATGAATAAGTTCAGAGAAAAGACGATGACGACTTCAGAAGAATGGACTGACCCTCTCCCCCACAATTAACATTACATTAAAATACATTAACTCAGAATCCCAATGTGCATCAAAATATATTAGGCTTGTCAGGAAAAGAAAAAAAAAAGTGTATTCAAAAAAGTTTCTTGGGGTAGCTCCTCAGAGGGGAAAACCTTTAAAGCAAAGATAAAGTTGCATATAATATTTCAAGCTGTATTCAAAAGAATTGTATTGCTAGACTTCATATTTATAAGAAGGGATAAAATGATAGAATACTGACAGAAGGAACATTATTGAATAGGACTACACTGAGATAAGAAATATTATTTCACAAAAGCAAAAGGGAATGTTTCAAGATGAAAAGGAAGGAAGGTGACTATATTGCAATCATACATAAAACATGACAATATTTAATAAAGTTCCCCCCTCACTTGAGGCCTTTTACATTACAAGCATTAAGAGCATAATTATCTCTGGTTTAAATCATCCCATATCTGACATCACTTACCAGTTTTTCGTTTCAGTTAGCTGTAGAGAGCTGCACATAGAGATTTTACTTACATTATGGTAGTAATCAAAATGTGCTAAGAACTTTCCAAACATAGTAGAAGAAACAGGCATACAATTTTAAAAGATAGACAGATTAAAAGATGGAGAATGAGATGCAACATAAAATCAAAGTGATAAGAATTTGAATAAATGAACTTCTTTTTAGTGGCAAATTTAAATGTAATTCTTTTTCCAGTTAAACATACTAAATTTACCCCAATGCAATCTCATTGTTTTCAATTTTACTGTTCTTATGCCCCGAACATTTCAACCTTTTCTTCAATGTAAATGAGTTCACTCAGGCTATGTCTACACAGCAGCATTATTTCGGAATAACTGAAATAATGAATTTTCTGAAACAACAAAGTCTGTGCCTACACAGCAAGCAAGCAAGCAGTTATTTTGACATTGTTGAAATAATGTCAAGCTGGAGGACTTCTACTCTGACTCCTGTAAACCTTATTTTATAAGGAGACAGGGAAGTTGGAAGAAGAATGCTATAATTTGGACTTCCTGCTGTGCAGGCAGTGCCAAAAACTGAAATAAACCATTTTGACTTAAACTACGCAATTGACATAGCTCAAGTTGCATAGCTCATTTTGGCTTTAGCCCTGATGTGTAGAAATGCCCTCATAACATAAGTAAATAACTTCATTACTTTTGTGAAGACATAGCAAGTGGGCCTTCTAGAAAGATATTCAAACTTGTAATATCCACTAATTAAAACAGACATTTTCTTTCCTCCTTGCTTATGTCTTACCTTACAAATTTTTGATGTTGCTGTCATTTTTTCCTGCTTCACAGATTTAATTTCTTGCATTGGTTGAGAAACATCTTTAGATTTCTGTATTGTTAAAAATTCATGCTTCCTCTGCAACAGGATACATTAATGAATTACATTTGACTTGTTTCTTACAAGGGAAGACGCACTGAGAAAAAACTGTAAGTCTTACTTGTAAATTATCTAAACGAGCTTGTACTTTTTTTGCTTGAAACTCCAATTTCTTGTTCTGCTCAGTCACATCACTTAACTGAAACAATTAGAAAATACGTTAAAAATACCTCTGCATTCAAAACTTAAGTTTAAATTCATTCTTTACTGCATATAAAGGTTGTTTAAAAATCACTAAACTAAGACCAGGTCTACAATGGTGGAGAAAATTGATGTAAGATATGCAATTCCAGCTATGACAACTGCGTAGCTGCAGTCGACATAGCATACATCGATTTATGGGGCAGTCCCACAGTGGAAGGTCAACAGGAGAAACATTCCTGTTGACTTCCCTTACTCTTTGCAAGGAGTACCATAGTTGACAGGGATGTCGTCAACGTTCTATTTAGCGGGTCTTTGCTAGACTCATTAAATCGAATGCAGGAAGACTGAACTCTGTAGCACTGATCTCTGCAGCAGAAAAGACAAGCCCTTAGTTAAAGACAGCCAGATCTATTAAAGCACAAGTTTATCTGCTCTCAGTGTGAACAAAGCAAGAGTTAAGAGTATTCTCCTTTTTCTAAAATGTGCCTGCTAGAAAAGCTGTAATGTCATGTTATGTATAAGCCCGTGGTCCCCAACACAGTGCCCGCGGGGGCATTTCCATGTGCCCGCCAGGTGCTCGGGGCTGGCCTGGCACCGGGCGCATGGCGGGGGGAGCGCCGGCCCCGGGCGCGCGGCGCATGGCGGGGGGAGCACCGGCCCCGGGCATGCAGCTATGGGGGGGCTGCCCCCGGGGCGCCAAGTGTCCCCGCCCCCTGGCGCCCGGCGCCTGTGGGGGGGGGGCGCCCCCGGGGCGCAAGTGTCCCCGCCCCCTGGCGCCCGGTGGGCAAACGGCCACGCCCCCTGGCGCCCGACAACTTTGAAAGGTTGGGGACCACTGGTATAAGCTATGTTCTGTGAATTGAGAATTCAACTTACAAGCCAAGCACTGGGCTAACTGTCTACAGACACCCAAATACAAAAACCCGCCTGTGGGGGGGGGGCGCCCCCGGGGCGCAAGTGTCCCCGCCCCCTGGCGCCCGGTGGGCAAACGGCCACGCCCCCTGGCGCCCGACAACTTTGAAAGGTTGGGGACCACTGGTATAAGCTATGTTCTGTGAATTGAGAATTCAACTTACAAGCCAAGCACTGGGCTAACTGTCTACAGACACCCAAATACAAAAACCATACTTTCAGAGAATCTCACTCTTCCTAAAAGGACACATACAATTACTTTGAAATTACCTGTGTGCATAGATCTATACCAGGGCTACTCAACTTTGGAAGCCCCGGGGACCACAATGATACCCACAGCACATGCTGAGGGCCACAACTTAAGCATGGTTGCAAATATATGCAAATAGCTTCATTCACACTGACGGGCATTAATACAAAGATTAAGGCAAGACTACACAACACACAGGCCCCATTTAAGTCAGATCTGCTGATATTAATAAAATGCAATATTTACCTGATTTCTACCCATATGACAGCCCTTTTAATGAGCAATGACAGTGCAGCAATTTAACAACTAAAATGCATATCAACAGAAGACCATTATATTGATTATTACCCAAGTACCAGCCCAGACCTCTCTCACCCTGGCCTTGCTGCCGCCTCGCTTCCCAGCTCTGCCATTGCTGATGTAACGTAGCTCAGTGAGGCACTACCACTGTGGCAGATGCAGCAGGTGTGCTTTGCCGCTGTTTTTGCCACCCCTTTTTCCCCCTAGCCCCAGGCCGGCAGGCAGCTCCCACACACATGCAGACGCGGCTCTGCTTGTGGGGAGGCACTGCCACTGTGGTAGAAACGGCAGGCGTGCTCTGCCGCCTGGCAGCTGCTGTGCACGTGACCTGGCTCAAAGCCACACGGTTCGACGCTGCAGCTGGAGCCCCAGCAATGAGGCAGGCAGGCAGCTCAGGAAGTGGGTCAAGGCACCGTGGACTGCATGCAAAGGGGCCACAGGCCGCATGTTGAGTAGCCCTGCTCTATACATTATATTAATGAGTGTACAGTGATAGTTATAGGTACATTTTCAAAGCCTCATCCACGTTTCTAATTTCTCCAGTGCACAGTCACTCTGGATAAGCATCTACATGGTAGAATAATGTCAAACAACAATGATTACATAGAACCACAGAACCATACACCACACACCAATTTACATTGGTGCGCTGAATAAAACTGAAAATTCTCTCTCGGGTTCTTCATTGGTTGATTCTTGCTCAGGCTTAAACAAATTACCATAAGCGAAGGCTGGCAAGCATTTGCCGTGCCCCTTGTGTCAGACTGGTAGGGAGCTTGAGGGAGGGGAGGATTGGGATTGCCTTCCTCTGCAGTATGGGGCACAAGTCACTTGCTAGAATCTTCATGGTCTCTCATTTAAATCAATCCCCTACCACTGCCAGGGGTGCAGGCATTTTTACACAGAAGTCACTCCTGTTGTATGTCACAGGTATACAACAGCTTATCCTATAATGGCTTGTAACAGGTTCGGTCCTGTGTGCGAGTGCCTGTTGGTGACTCAGGGGGTGAAGGTCTCGCAATATTTAACTTGCCTGTCTGCGGATGAATCAATGTCCAGTCCATGGCCGAGGTTCAGGCCTCTTCTTTTACCCTTCCTTGCTCGGGTGTGGTTTGCAGGGGTGTGTGTGTGGGGGGGAGAGACGATCCAGGCCCGCCCACTCCTCTGGGTCCCGGCCCAGGGACCCTATACATAGCAGTTACCTGCCAAGTTTCAAAGTCCATAATTGTGGTCACGTCCCTGGGACACTTCCCCAGGATGTCGTTTCATCCAGCCCTTCTCTCAGGCTTTGTTGCTGAATTCCCCTTGTCTGGGATTCCACAGAGTTGTCGCTGACCAGCCTTTTCGTCGCAGGATCTAGCTCCACTCAGTTAAGGGGGTCCAGCTCCCACTCTGAGCTGTCCAAGGTTCTGGGTGTTCCCCAGTCAGCCCAGAAGTCTGCCTAGGTTGAGCTCCAGGAAGAAACTGATAGGCCTTAGCTTGCAGCTCCTTATATAGCAGCCTGCCGCATCCTGATTGGCTGCAGTGAAGGCTGCCCCTTTTACCCTGCTCAGAGGACCTCTCCACTACTCCTGTGGCTGGCCAGGGTGCTGAAAGGCCTCCAGCAGGGAGGTCAGGCTTTGTCCACCTCATCACATGGCTATAATACTTTTGTTAATTCTGGTTGTTACGTTTAGCTAGCAGTAGCTATGGGGGTTTAGTGGCCTGTGATATACAGGAGATAAGACTAGATGATTTGATGGTCCCTTTCCAGCCTTACATTTTAAGAGTACAGCTGACTTTTTCTTACTGCCGTAACATGAAATAGGATGACATCACATACAAAAAATCCCCAATCAATAATCAAAAAGGGGAAAAAGTAAAGTAACATGTATACTCTCCCGTCTCCAGAATATGAAATAACTCACTGTAAATCATTTGCAGCAAACCCAGCCTGAAGTAACAAACTGAGTCTACTAGTTGGAAACTATCACTGACTCTTTATATTTAAGTTAAAATGGAACTAAATTCTGCAGCAAATTTCTTCAGCACACTGGTACAAACAAAAAATTATGCTTCATTTCCACTTACACTTCCCTGGGTTATTTATTTTAGTCTGTCCCCATATTTTGAATTTGGAACAGATTTTCATACTGCAAGCATACACAAACCAAAGGATTTGGTAGTTGGATAGAAAACAGATTTTTATTTCCTGGTGAGCATGAGAAGTAATTTCAGATTATGGGGTAAACCTAGTAGGGGAAGATCTGCAATGAAATATAGATTGGAGAGGACAATTACAATATCAATATTTTAGACTTGAAAGTTAACAATTCAGTGAGATTAATAGGACATTTGACATCACTATGAAATGTTGTTTCCTGTTGTTTGAGTCTAAAGACAATACTGTTATCAGTTTACACTTAGGCTATATTGTCAAGGTTATATTTACAACTACAAATGCTAGAATTACATATTATATTTAAAAGCTTGAATTCAGTAGCGTAATTCAACAGCAAAGGATAGATTCCACAACATTATGGAATACATGAAGGTATATATGCGCTATTATCGAGATCAGAGCTGTATTCTGATTATTAGTAGGCTATAGACCTTCTAATAATCAGAATGCAGCCCTGACCTAGGCCTAAGGGTCTCAATTTCTTTGTCAGACTATTGAATATGTTTTTCTTGTGGATTTTTTTTTTTATGGATAACTTGTTGCTGGCTATTTAGAAGAGTAATTCAAACTTCACCAATATTTGAAATTATAACAAAAGCACCAACCAGTTAAAAGAAAAAAATATGATTCAAGTTGTAGGAAAGTTGTAGAAAGGGAACAAGAATCATTTCTGCTCAATTATATGAATCTTGTTTAATAAGACTGCAAATACAATCAGTCAACTTTCCCAAAATGATTTAAATTGATCCTAATATTTAATTTTTTTAATGAACAAATATGAAAACAGCTCTTGCCTGTTTTTTTAAAGAGTCATTCATTTCCTTCAAGGCATCAAATGATGATCTGAGTCTCTTGTTTTCTTTCGTCCTTTCTTTCAAGGATTCTGACAGCTGTTGAACTTCTGCCTCATGTTGCTATAGAAAAAAAAAGGATTCATGATATACCAACTAGAAACAATTTGTGACTAGTATGTTAAAATACAGTGCCTAATTTTCAAAGGATCAGGTGTGCAATTTTGCACGCCCAGATATCCTTGCACTTTGCGTCCATAATCTGTTGATATACAGGACATTCCTGATTTTCAAAAAGAATAATCATTACAACATGGATGCAAGCAATACCTGGCCTTTCTGGTGAAGTCATACCCCTTTTGAAATCCACCAAGGGTGTTTACACTCAAACATCCATTAAGTTTAAAAGTGGACGCTTATTGATTAATGATGTTGGTTACACTCAGTGAAACCTCTTCCCCTGGAGCCAGGTGGGCAAGGGTTGCCTAATCTGCACCTGGGGAGGAGGCTTCATTGACACTAAACTTTATACTGTGGCTCTCAGCTAAGCTTTATACTGCAGAGTCTGCAATGTAGCTAACCGTGTAACTGCTGAGATTTTCCACGGTTATACAGTTACCTCACAATTTTTAACATCCCTAGTAGGTACCATATAATCAAATCATCTCACTTATGTGTGTGTCCAAAGAATCAATTCCATAAATAAAAGAAGTGGAAAAACAAGTTAAAAGTGGAGGAAAAAAGGAAAAACTAATTTTTAAACTGATTGTTTGTAAGGAAATGCTATGAACCTTAGCCACAACGATACCCAAATCCTCCTCAGCAGATCAGCAAATATTCCTAATGTCATAAAGTGTCCCAGCAGCCTGCAATAAAGTTTTACTTGTACTTTGGAAGCTGAATTGGAATTTCAAAGAATTTATGCAGGAGTTATTTTAATACAGGCAGTCCCTGACTTACGCGGATCCGACTTATGTCGGATCCGCAGTTACGAACGGGGCTCGCCCCGGAGGACACGGACTGCGGGACCTCGCGGTCCTGCCGCCCGTGTACTCCAGGGCTTTCTCCGCGTCTCCCTGGTCTGCAGACCAGGAAGACGCGGAGCAAAGCCGCGGAGGGGCTCAGGCAGCGGGGCAGCCCAGGTGAGTCTGGGCT